TTCCTAAAATGTCAAACTATTTGTTTAAACAATATTTAATCTTCTTTTGTTGATTAGCATATTTAAAGATAAAATAATGTGAAAACTTAGGTTGACTGAGAAATGTATTCAAATATTAATGTGTCAAATACATTCAAAGTAAAATGTAGCGCAAGCTAACTTAGTTTCTGCCTCGCAGGATGAGTGGCCGTTAATTTTCTGTCACATTTAGCAAAAGCCCTAATTGTGGACCTGTGGTAGCTTAGCATGTCTTCAGGAAACTATGCAGGGCAAATGGCATAAGGCACAAGATGCAGTGCAAATAGCAGCCGCGCTCCATGTGAAGTATAGGCAGCATCATATCAGGTTTCAACCATTTTAAAAGTGTTCAAGGTTGTAGAATTTTCTCTGAATTGGCCGATCAACCAGTGCTCAGAGATGTGTCTTCTTCTTTAAGTCAGTTAGTACATGACTAATAGGACATGTTAAATGTTGCCTGCACACTTATAATCAACATTTGTTAGTGAACAACCTTTTGTTGTAAACCCAAACACAACAAGCGGCGGTAAATCCCTGGTTACTGCCCTTGTTTGTAAGACTAAAGAAGAAGGCCATTGACTTTAGAATGGAGATTCCCTCTATGGTGCTGCCCATATAATCACAGGTGAAATTTAAAGAACGGATCTGACATACCCTTGTTTCCTTTACCGTCTTTCCTGCCACCTAGTCCATAATCATAAATTAGGTCATCTACTGGAATATCTGCACTCCCATCATTATCATCCTTACCACACAAGGTTTCCCTAAATTTTAAAGTGAGCTTCTCAATGACACCATAGGTCTCCACGTAGAAGACATGTTCATCGTGTGGCTGGCTAGCCATGAGGCGCAGGGACATCATATCGGCTCTGTCTACTCCCACTGCATAGATCTCAATCCCAGATGCCCGAGCTGCGGCTGATATTTCCTCCACCTTATCCTGGGGCCTCCCATCCGTCACGATAATGGCTACTTTGGCGATGTTCGCGGAGCCAGTTCGGGCTCCTGCCTCCACAGTGAAAGCTTTCTCCATGGCAGTCTTGATGGCCAATCCTGTCATGGTGCCTGAAGCGAGAGGCTCGACTTGTGCCAGTGCCTGCTTCATGGCTGGCTTCGAAAAATACGTCTTCAGAAGAAACTCGATCTTCACCGTGCTGGCATAATTGACAAGGCCGACTCGTGTGGCATCTGAGCCGATCGCCATGCTCTCCACCATGTGTTGCAGGAACTCCTTGGCCTTTTCAAACTCAGAAGGGCGCACACTGCGGGAGCTGTCTATAATGAAGACCAGGTCTATAGGACGATTTTTGCAGTTGGAACTGGTTGCTGCAAAAAGAAAGAAAACAAATGCTTTTAAATGTCAAAGCGTGTATTTTCCAACGTATGTGCATTGAAGATACAGTGCTAAAACTCCTAATTTGCGAGAATGGAACAATAATTTCCAACGACAAAATAACGTAAAAAAACTAAGAAACATACTAGAATATCTTATCACCTAATATGCCAATTTGAAATACTGTCTTCTTAAAAATTCCATCAAAATGTAATGCTAACTGATAGTCTCGCAAGTGCTTTAGGGAAACTCAGCAAAGGGAGATATAAATGATGGCATAAGAAGGCACGACAAGGAAATCTTCATTCAAGTATCTGATGTCGCTATTGATATTTATTCATTTGTTAATTGAAATGGAATGATTTATTGTTGGTATATCCTTCAAGCATAAATGAAAAAATGTCAACTTAGTTAAAATGATAGTAATGCATTTATTATTATTTGTATTCATATGGTTAGAAAAGGAACTGTTGTTTAACAAACCACTTGGTTATTCAAGGATTACTAGTTATTTGAGTTTACAGACTAATAGAAATCCACTATTTATAAGTCCATAACAGCATTTTAAATGTGCTAAATAACATATATATACTAGCTGGTATTGTCAGTTTGTTTAAAGGTTTCACACCAAATTGGAACAAATTTGTCCAAAACATGACAAATGCATGGTGAGCAAATGTGAGGGTATAGCACGCATGCACAGCAGGATAAAACATAACATCTATAGCACCAACCCACCTCCATTGTCCGCTCCCTGTCTCTCCTGCAGGTAGCTGTTGGCCCCGGCCCGGGCCCCCTGCTGCTGCTGGGACCCTCGTGCTGACTGAGCACCCGGCTGCTGGACCTCTAGGAAACTTTCAGCAGTCGGATCTTCTTCAAATCTCGGTTCAATAGATTTGATCTCTCCAAAGCGCTGATGGACTCTTGGAGAGACCTGCGAGGATACTCGTGGGATGGAAGGACGTATTGAGTGGATCTGCCGGCTGCGTGACCCAAACTGTGTGGAAGTTCCCACAGTCCCAGGCGCCAGGAGGCAGATGAAACAAAGCAGTCTCCAGGTTAACGAGGTCATGTTGCCTGCACACAGTTGTGTTCCCTTCGCCTCTGGTCTGGATCTTGATTTATACAGTCGATGTATAAATCTATCTATAAATCTATGATCTGGATGCACCTCTGTCTCTACTTCCACAGCTGACTGCAGTCTATTTATATGATGCTGTACACACTGCCCACAAGGCGTGGGGAATAGGAGGCATTTGGGGGAAGTGAAGGAAGAGGGAGGTCTCAAAGCAGCAGTAATCTCTACAGACATTTTATAATAACCATTAAAACTTTAATTACACATAACCTTTCCCAGTATTACACTGGACAGCTAAGTGGTGGAATGTAACTATCAACAATACAAGAACAGGTAGGCTACATGTCAAAAGTACTATACAATACAATACAATACAAAGGGGCTTTATTGGTGGCCACATTTTAAACATAGTATTTCCAAAGCACAAGGCGTTATAACAGAACAAAAACAAAAAAGAAACCCTAAACATAAACTTACCGTACTATCTGCTTTCATTATAAGCCAAATTGAATACATATGTTTTCAGCTTCATTTAAATTGTTGACATAAATATTAAGTATAGTATAAAGAGGTTAGCTGGTTAGTCATTGACCTTTCAGTAGTAATAGTTAAATTCAATATTAGTATGAGTTCTGCTAAAACGTTTGTGCTCCTACTTGTGTAAAATTATAAAAGCATGCATGAGTATTTTTATAGTGTGACGTAACTTTACTTTCAATATATTGGTAATTCTACCACTGGTTGTAATCATTTTTCATGAGAAGATATTAATGTTGCATGCATTTAGTGTCTTTCAGAGGTTAAACCGATGCTACAGTATTCCAAACATACAGCATGTTTTCTAATATTTTCTTATAAGTGTTGCAATTGTGACCTCTGCTGACATAATTGAGCTGCATCTTATGTATGAAAAAGCTTTTATTGTTATTATTATTATTACTATTATTATTTTGTTGTTAACAAGAAGCTAGGAATTTCATTATTGACATTTGACACTGCAGAGATAACATTTTCAGGACTGTTATGACAATAATAAATGTGGATTATAATAATATGTGGACCTGAATACATTTGCAAAAATAAGTAGTAATATATTAAATGAAAAGGATTTATATAAAGTATTATCTTGATATTACTCTCGCAGTGGGACCTGAACAAATACCATAGAACTATAAAGACAAACTTCATTAATTCTAGGGCAGCTGATACTCAGAAAGCATAATCACCATGTAGCATGTTGCCCTCTCTTGGATTCTTTAGCAAACTGTACCACAGTTTGGGTGCGTGACCTAAATAAAAGAGCCATTCCACTATTCAAAGAGCAGTCAAATACAGAACCTGTTTTATCTCGGGTTTCGAGTAAACCACCTTGTTGTTGTTATACCAACCTTTTTCTGAGTAAGTATTTTGCATGAAGTTGCAGATTCCATCTGACAATGCAAATAATCCATACTGACGTCCTACAAGACTCAGTTACATTACATCTGTTGTCCAGAACCCTTTAATAGTCCAGAGAGAGGAACAGATAATGTCATGTGTTTAAGCCCTGTGTATCCACAATGTTTTTATTATGGTTATTTGCGAGTATCGTCTGTGTATTTCTCCCTTGGTCAGGAGAGCCTAGTGTTCTACATGCAGAATCTCCTGGGGATATAATCATCGGAGGACTTTTCCCTATTCATGTGAATACCAATAGGAGCACAGCGCCTGGACCACTCTCTTGTACTCAGTAAGTATGCTCTTATGATATTAGTCCATTTACATCTGTGATTATGAAAGTAACTAGGTGCATTAACTCAAGTACTGTATAAAGTACAATTTTAATGTACCATTTCCTGGTTCGTTATATTTCTACACCAATACAATTCCAAGATGAATATTGTACTTTTTACTCTCTTTTAATATAATCAATGAAAATGTTGTCATGTATAATTATAGGTTAAGATAAAACTTCATAATCATATTGATATTATTGATAGCTTTCTGAAATTAAAAAGCTATCCAGCAGTATAGTCAAATTAAAATAAGCTCCTGTTTTACCAGCTGTAATTCAATAATATAATGTATGTTATTTCGGAAATGTGCAGCTGAAGATTGAAAGGATTTAAAAAATATGTAATGACGATTTGATTAGAAAGTGTACATCCACAATAATACAACAACAATAGCTTGTACATGTAGTTAGCACATTTTAGGGTATAGATAAATGGTTAAAATCGTAAAATGTCTAGCTTCTTTCACTAGCAGTTCAAATGGTAACTTGACTAAACCAATCCAAACATTGCCACTTGAATTATATGAATAATATATTGTAACAGTTGTGTAAAATTCTTTAAAAATTGTACGGAAATATTTTTGAGAAGTGTCTTGGAGTTAGTGTTTAATTATATCCAGTTATTGTTAGAACCAAATGAACACGTTAGTAAGCTGATGCGTGGTCTTGATGATAGGGCTCTTCTGTCAGGGTATGTCTGAAAGAAAGTTGGGCATCCACTGATTTACATGACTGTAGTATAAATGAACCATTTAGGAAATTCTACTTATCCTTTGTCAATTGTTGCAGATATGAAATCCGACAGTTTCTTCGCACACAAGTGATGATATACGCCATCAAAGAAATAAACAAGCGCACACCAAGGCCTTTACCCAACTACACCATAGGATTTGACATCTATGACACTTGTGCAGATGTGAGCTTTGCCATCAGAGCAACGCACGAGTTGCTGAAGAACCATTCAGACCCTCACAGCTGTTTGCTAGCTGAACCCAAAACAAAGGCAGTGATAGGAGCAGGAAGTTCTGAAGTATCAATAGCTGTTGCACGTGTTCTTGCTCTGTCATCAGTTGCTCAGGTTTGTCTTTGCTGTACTTTTGACATTTTCAAGATTCCTGATGAGTAATGCAGTACAATTTCAACCAGATGTATTCCTGTTTGTCACAGATTAGCTACTCTGCCACAAGCGAGCTTCTCAGCAGGAAGTTGAAGTTCCCCACTTTTCTGCGAACGACTCCTAGTGATAAACATCAGACAAAGGCCATTGCTGAGCTGGTGAAGAAGTTTAATTGGAAAACGGTGGGTATTGTGGGAAGTGATGATGAGTATGGGAAGTATGGTAGTGATACCCTCAACGATATTTTCGAAGAAATGAAGGACATCTGCATTGAATTCAGTGACATCCTGCCTGGCTACTTTTTCCAGAACAATTCAAAGGCCAATGACTGCCTGGATGAGCTGGTGAGAAAAATCAAGAATTCCACAGCTGAGGCCATCATCTTGTTCACCAAGAAATCCAACGTCGCTGCCATCATTGGGGCCGCTGTTAAATACTCTCTCAACAGAACTTGGATTGCCTCTGATACATGGTCCACCTCTGAAAAACTCTCTTCACTGTCAGGCATTGAGAAGGCCGGGGAAGTTTTTGGATTCATCTCGAAAAGGAATGAGGTGCCTGGGTTTAAAGACTATGTCATTTCGTCAATGTTCAACGGGACCACTAACGCCATCCTCAATAATTACATGACTCAATTTTGTCCCACTAAGTCTGAGGAGAACAGAGAAAGCAACTTCCCCCTAAAGAAAACAGCCAAAAAGAGCCTCAAGTGTCTGGACTCAATGGACTTGACCAATTACATTGACCAGGATGCATCATACAATACTTACTTAGCTGTTGAAGTCATTGTTGAGGGTCTAAGAAGTCTGCTAAAGTGTGACCACCGCCAGTGTAAAAGAAGCACTAACTTTACAGCCTTGGAGGTACAGTACAGAGTTATTTTTGCATTGCAAATGTAGACTACATTATGTGGCCTACATTATGTCTATAATGTTTACTTGCAGAGTTTAATGAGAAGATTGAAACCAATCTATGCGTTTTTAAAGCAGTGGTTGTTAACTGGTGGGTCGTTTGGACTGGGTCGCAGACGTGTGAGTGAAGAAGAAAAACTTGAAACGTTCTAACACTGTGCATGCAGTCGGCGTTGGACTGGAAGTACCGGGCGGAGACCATAAACGGTTTTGAAAACTTCTGTCACGTAGTGATCATCTTCTCAATTAAACATCTTTGCTGATATTTTTTCGAGTCTTCTGGACAATCAGAATTAAGATTGTTGCCGGAAGTCAACTATTCTTTGTACATCCATGGGTACAACTTCAGATACAAATGAACACATAATGAAATATGACCCCCGGTTTGATGATTGACAGGTCACAGAACAATGGGAGCTATCTACCCTTATCCACAATTTAAAGTAATTCACACAGACTCTCTGCTCTTTGCTCTTCTCTCTGTAAGGAGCAGAGGGTTCAGCTGTCAGAACTAAGTGAAAAACAAACAATGGCACAACATGTTATTAATATGTCGGGTAGCAATAGATTTATTTATTTTCTTCTCAGAGTGTGCCAGAGGGCGTAATTTATATGTTAGTATTTCTAAAAATCTTCTGTGGGGCAGAATCCCCCCAGACCCCCCTTCCGGGGTTGGGTTTTCAGCATGTGTGCCTTTTTATGTTATACAGTTTCACTTTAATTAATAATGTATGCTGAAAAGCGTATTACAGCACTATTTTTTTTCCTTGAATAGATTTGAGTGGTTCAAAATTTCGGGTCGCGATTTATCGACAAAGGAAAAAGTGGGTCCCGAGGCCTGATCAGTTGAGAACCACTGGGTTAAAGGATACAGCCAACTTTTGCTAGTTAGCTTAACCTAGCATAGAGACTGGAAACACAAGGAAAAGCTAGCCTGGCTCTCCAAACAAGATCATCCCAATAGCACTTCTACATTTCACTGATTAACAGGTGACATCACCTTGTTTAATCCCTAAATTAAAAAACTTGTTTATTGTTTTTGTCATTATTTATCAGGTTGAGAACAGTAGAAGGAGAACAATAGAAACTTCAGGAAGTTACCCCTGGCCAATAAATGTCTGCATATAATTCCCCTGTAAAACCATAATGTATTGTACACTTAATGTAACTTAGTCTTCATTACACTAGTGTGAAATATTGTATTGGCTTTAGAGTGGCTGCAGACAGATTTTGTTTCAGTTTGACTGAGAAATGCTAGCAGTTTCCTCGGGTCTCCATTTCCTACACTAAACAAAATAGATTGTTTGCTGATGGTAGCCTTATAGAGTTCTAGATGAAGGACATGATTTTGTACACAAACTCTAAAGATAGCATTACGTTGGTTCCCTCTACAAAAAGCAGACGAAACGCCAGATTTCTAATGGCCTAAAAACAAACTATATGATTGAATGGATTTAACGTCACCACCACTGAGTTATTGCGTTTCCCTGTGTTTGCCGACACATCATTGGTAATCTAACTTAGACACTTGTTAGCAACACATTTTTTCAACACTAGTGAAAGTTTCAAAACTTACAAGAAAAGTGATATATTTTCTGCCTTGGAACAAACTGTAAACTCCTTTAAGGTTATGTTAACCAAAGACCTAATTTTAGGAATGTAATCCCCTTCAGGGACCCAGAAGTGAAAAGAAATGTGAACTAATTTCCGAGGTTAAGGACTCATTCTTTTTTTATATACCTTTCGAAGTATTTTGGAAATGGTCTCCTATATGAATTATTTCTTCTTTTATTATGTGTAGTCATAGAGGAAATAACAAACTTGTGTATTTTATGTAACATCAATGTAGTTCTGTTTATGTTCATCTCTACAGCTTCTTATGGAAATCAAGAAAGTTAACTTCACTGTGAATGGCACACACGTTCAATTTGACTCCAATGGAGACCCTTTTTTAGGATATGACATTCTATATTGGAACATGACTCAATCCAAGGAGAGCACACACATAACAAAAATTGGAGAATACGAGCCAGAAGGAAACATCACAGTCCCAAACGATCTTGTTAGAAATAAGGTCGGTAGGGTCAGAATGTCATTATATATTTTTTCCCAAAATTGGTTATGATTTTTTGTACTAATTGGGTTTTTCCGTTTACAGGTAACAACCTTCAATTGCTCTAAAACTTGTGAACCGGGGCAGGAGTTGAAAAAGCAGAACAAAGGAAAAGTGTGCTGCTATGACTGTGTTCCATGTGCAGACGGAGAGTATTCTGATGGTAAGTGTTTCTTCTTTTATGAAATAACCCCAAGCTCAGATATTTAAATGTTTATCCGCTAAGAGGACCCTAATTATGGATAAATAACAGAGGATATAATCGCATTTCCAGAAACACATTTTGATATTATTTTCCTTTCTTTTAACACATACCAACTGTGTTCTACTCTGCTCTGCATTTGTTAGTGGTAGATTGAATTTCATTTGGAATAATTCATTTGTAAAATGGTTTGTTAATTGCATTTAGAGCCCCTCGGTTCTTCATGCCATGTTGAAATGTAGGCTGCATGAATATAAAGCTTCAAATGTACAGAGGATTATTGACATTTGACCCCTTCACCTTAGTTCTGAAAATAGTGTGTGTGTCGCCTAAAACTGTCTCGTTTAACTTTTGTTTTTATTTAGCTCCACCCTTTGGTGTCACTTCTGGTTCCAAACACTAAAATGGCAACAACTCAAAAACTAAGATGGCAATGGCCAAAGTGACAAACTCATGGCCTTAAAGCTGTAAATCACAAGCCAATGGGTTACTCAGAAAGGATACATACATGTCTTCTTCTTTTGTTCTCCAGTGAATAAAGATAAAACTAAAAAGATTAAAGAATGATTAATAGTCATTGCTCAGCCTTATTCTCTGAGGGTACAGACCACACACCTGGTCTGAAATATTGGTGTAATAATGGACTTAGACCTACTTTAGTATTAAGAAAATATTAATTATTAAAGGACTTCTGTTTCGGGAGAATGTAAAAAACGTGCAGACTGTGACTGTTAGAGTCCCCAACAAGACTAAGGATCAGTCCAGTTCTTAGGTCTTTCCAATTGCAAATAAAATACCATTGTTGGTTTACAAGAACTAAACGTTTTAATGTAAAGATACATGCCTTTTCTGCATCTACAACTCGAAATATTCAAATCTGGTAAGAATCTCAGTTCTTCGATCTTCCCTGAAAAATGTTTTAATAACTTTTAATAAGCTTTTTAGGAAACAAATATTTTTTTCAGTTTCAGTTAATATCTGCAAAAGAGTTTAATTATTACATTCTGCATTCAAAATGGATTAAAACTAAAAAAGTGCACAATTTAAACTCTTTTAACAGGAACTCAATTAAATAATATCATGTTAATGTTTTGTTTTCCCAAATGTCTAAAGACAATTTTGCAAGAATTTGCATGAATTTGCAAATATTCAAAACTCTTCTGTCACACTGTTACACGGTAAAGGGATACAGATGCTGGAGTTTGCCATTTATTCATTTATGTAAAGCAAAAAAAAACGTTTCAAGAACCTCTCACATAACCCTTTTCAATGGAGTGTTTTCATCATAATGATACTATTCTTTCCTCATGCAAATACATTTGCATTTATTAATTTGTTTTACCTTCTTTAGGAGAGGAATGTAAACGCTGCAAGACAAAGGAATATTCATCTGAAAATAGGGATAAGTGTTTGTTGAAAAAGGATGATTTCCTAAAGCGGTCACACCCTTTCATTGTCTTTTTGAGTGTATTGGAATTATTTGGTATAATTGTCACCATTGGTTTTGCTGTTGTGTTTACAATCTATCGGAAAACTCCCATTGTGAAGGCAGTCGGGGGTTACTTGAGTTTCGTGGAGCTTTTTTCCTTGCTGGCCTGTTTCTGCCTTTCATTAATCTTTGCCGGAAAACCAAATCGCACTTTCTGTAAGGTGGGACTGCCACTCTTCGGCATTGCTTCCTCCCTCTGCATCTCCTGCATCCTGGCAAACCTGCTCCAAATCTTAGTGGGCTTTAACTTTGACCTGAAGAAGAGGTCCTGGATAAAGAATTTCAATCAGCCGCTGACTGTTGTGACAATCGTCTCTGGGTTCCAGGTCATCCAGTGTGTAATATGGATGATCTGTTATGGCCCACATCCTGAAGAAATCATACTTAGCAATACCATCCTCACTTATTGTGACAAGGGCTCCGACGCATTCTTCATTACCATGTTAGGATACAATGCCTTCTTGGCACTTATTTGTTTCCTGTTTGCTTTCAAAGGTAAACAGTTGCCAGATCTGTATAAAAATGCCAATTTAATCAGCATCAGTATGCTGCTATTTTTAATCGTTTGGATTTTCTTCATCCCCATTTATCTCAATTTGATCGGGAGGTACACACAAGCCATTGAAAGCATAGCCATTCTGATTTCTTGCTACGGCATCCTGGGCTGTCACTTGGCCCCAAAATGTTACATTATGTTGTTCAGGAAAGAAATTAATAATGAGAAAGCAATTACTGAGTACATCAGGAATCATTACGAGCAGACAAACATGCCTGTGGTGACCTCATGATCGCACATCCATCAATTATTTGGTTCACAAGAATATAGCTTCCTGTGGTGAAATCATAGCATCGTTTTAATATGTACCAGACGGCTGCTAAAAGGTGGGGTAGGTATGTTTGAGAAACCGGCTCGAGATACACTTTTTGTTATATTCCATGGAATGCTCTTAACATCCCGATAGCAATGAATATCTTAAGTGCTTTGACAAAAAATCCATTAAAAAATGTCACCTGTGGAAGCCGTAGCACTGTAAAAAGCACGACTAAAATGATTGGATGGCCTACCTGCCTGTCAGCTTGGTCATGTGCACGTTCGTGTGTGTTGGAGGAGGGGCTCTGTAAGGAAGTGGCAGATTTTTTCCGGCTGTGTATTTTCAAATTCTAGCGCACTCAAGCTGGTTTCTCCAAAATTACCTACCCCACATTTAAGTGTTTACTTTCTGTCTGTTTTCTTCTGTTGTTCCCTTAGTGTTTACTTCTTGTCTGTCTTTTTCTGTTGTTCCCCTTTGTGTTTACTTTTTTTTCTTCTGCGTTCCCTTAGTTTTTACTTATTGTCTGTCTTCTTCTGCTTTTCACTTAGTGTTTACTTTGTCTGTGTGTTTCTGCTGTTCGCCTAGTAGTGTTTAATTCCGGCAGGTATTCTTCTGCTGTTCTCTTTATTGTTGATTTCTCTGTCCTTTTATCTTTTAACCTATTTCCTTGTCTTGTTTTTTGTTCTGTTCTTCACTTTGTACACTTTAGGAACCATGAATCCAAAGTTGTGTGCTCTCCTTAAAATATAAAAATGATTATTCAATACATATTTAATGGCATTTTCTAATGGAGCGAACGGACAGAAACAATTCAACAACAATGTGTTTTTTGATGCAGATATACATGAGTGCATATGGTCCCTTGATCCGATTGTCCTTAGCAACGTTCTGCTATCCCTAGCAGCTGTCTTCTATAGAGAAATAACCGACCACTAAATGTCCAAATAGACCAATCAGAATTGATTATTTAACTAAGCTGTGTAATATAGCGTGTTAAATACTGTAGGCAAAACATTAAACTAGAGACAGAGCCAAAAGGTTTCCCCCTTTTGCATTTTATGTTATAACTCAAGCTAAATGGCTGGCAGCGTGTTCACTTGTAAAATGCAAATTTCTTGGGTTAGTAAGTTATTTCACATTACTGTAATGATTTTCTTCTTGCTCTAAATGTATTTCATAAATATGTACATGGATGAACATTGTGTGAGTGCATGAATAAATTAATACTGACTGTAAGAAAACTAATGCTTTAAATCATCCCAGTTACACTTTTTTCCACACTGATATTCATATATTTTTTTTAGACAAGTTAAATGTATTACATGTACCTATAATGTACTATATTTAAATAAAATGTTGTGTATACTCGTGTTAATATATTCATTTAGGCATGAGTGGTGAACATGAGATTGTTAATGTCTGTAAAAACTTTTTGAGCAATGTTTCGTCATGAAGTGCTGTATACTGTGAATAAATGAACTTATTTCGGAATACTGTCACACTTTTGTAGCTTGATGTACTGTGCAGAATGGTTCAGCACCAACATGGAGGACAAACACAAAGATTTAAGCACCGATATTCCAGAAGTTTCCCCGAAACACTTCAAACAAAGATATCAGCTACAGAATACAAATCATATTCAACCACATAACAAAATCCCAGTTGGAATGAAAAAGCCTGAATGGGCTATGGCACAGTGCTAAACATAATGTGTTTAGTTGTGTCAATTATAGTTGAGTGTGTAATGTCACTCATAAATTGTTACTAGTATTCTTACATGTAAAAAATGTTGTAAAGGCAATTCTATGTCTAATATAACTAGTGAATGTATAATTATATATGCATGTATCCTCATGTTACTGTTACAAGGTAACCAACTCCCCTTTAGGCTAACTTCCTGGAACAAAGTACAATTATTTTTAGGATTTGGCATTTGAAAAGAAAAAAGACTAATGAGTCACTTTTGGCATCAGGAAAAGCTCTATATAAATAACATGTATTATTATTATGAAAGAGCTGTTATTAGAAGTTTGGCCAGATGAAACATCACAGTTCCTGCTGCAAACACTAGATGGAGCTCTTGAAACATCCTCTGAAGAATGTTTTATGATTCATACAAGTAGTTATGATTTATTTTGTCCCACATGTAGAAAAACGCACAACTCATGTGGCTCTGCATCCAATGTTTTTATTTATTAAAAAAATACAAAACTTGAAAAAGTTTCCATAGGAAAGCGCTATGAATATGCAATCCCGTCTCTTTCGTATCAATTTCTCAAATGTATTCTTTAACACTGGTTCTTATTCATATAATTAACAGACTTCTTGACGTCTACAAGTTACAACAAAAAAATAAAACTGAAAATAAAATGAGGAGAAGAGGAGGTTCAGTATGCTTCTTGAGTCCCTGTGTTTTAAGTGTTAATCTTGAAGATGTGTATTTGTTGGCACCTGTGAGTGTTGGGTGACCACGACAAATGAGAAGCGACCTTTGACAAAGGTAGCTGAAATGTTATAAGTCTATAATGCTCTGTGTGTACCTAAAAGTAAACAAAAACTTACTTTACATGTTAATATCTTCAGGATTAACACTTGAGAGGTTCTGTACAGAAGTAGAGATCATGGAAAGGATAAATATAAACAAAGCAGCCATTTAATGAGGATTAAAAATCACCCCTCCAACCACCTCTTTTGCAAGTTACAATTTTGAAGTATTAAAGGGGACCTATCATGCAAAATGCACTTTTGTACGTCTTTTATACATGAATGTATGACGTCAGAAAAGGGGTGCTCCGCCAATATGGGCAACTCTCCACCTATCAGAGACCGCACGAAAGCGCTGGAGACACTGTAGTACATATGCCAGGCCTGTAAGTGGCGCTGTAGTCTGCCACAAAAGCAGAATCAGCCCTTGCAAAAACAGGGCTGGAAAAGAGCAAAATGAGGCATGATCCGTTTGGTATTTTGAAAAAAAAAAATCACAGACATGTTTTATATAGGTATGGCCCTACAATATATGTTTAAAATATAGCATGNGTTAGCTTATTGCAGCTGTGCATGTTGCTAGCGGGTGTGCATGTTTCTAGCGGGTTACTTGCTAGGCCACCTCACGAGCTGCGCCAGGTGATGTAAACAAGAAAACCTTGATAGACCAGACCGCCTCTGTTTGTAGACCGCTCGGCCCGGGGTCCAGCCTATGGCTGCGATGCCGTTTCTCTATAAATCCATGCTGAATTCAACCTTCTGTTTCGTTCTTCATCTTCTTTAACTTGCAACCAGACGAGCATTATCGCCACCTACTGTATCACTGCAGCATTGTTCTTTGTTAGTTCCGTTTCATTGCAATGACTTCCGTTACAGCAAGAATCCCCCTCTCACACACATAGGTGAAACACATGCCCATTCCCTACTGAGAACCTTTCAGTAAAATGTTTTCAGTTGCGTGTGTGTGTGGTTAATTTTCAGTAGTGTGTGTGCAAGGTGTTCAGTAGTGAATGTGAGAGTATTTCAGTAGTGTGTGTGCAAGGCCAGATGTTTTCAGTAGTGTGTGTGCGAGGTTAGTTTGAATTTTGGCCTACACGGCCCCTCATATGCAGGACATCCTGGCCGAGAACCCGAACCCCTGATCCAGACTAACATGGCCTTTCAAACACCAGGTAAACACATACAAAGACACACACACACACACACACACACACACACACACACACACACACTGTAACACACTAAGGTCGTGAAATATGATCCCACCACACCACACCTCTTCATAATTTGGTGCAGAGCTCGGCAAAAAAAGAAGGCACATCTGCTTCAAACACTCAACTATTGTGTGATAAAAAAACATAAATCATTTAAAAAAAGAGAATCACCTTCTGAATCTGAATCCATTTTTCCAGCATCACATACGTTGTTTTCAAATGAGTTATAATATCCTTGTTTGAATCACCACAAAGACACAAGACAGATAAGATAACTGCATCCAGTCCTGCTGAATTTAAAATGCTCATGGGTAAGAACCTTTGTGTGTTTTATGTGTCCGGGATGCCAGAAAAACTTTTGGGGGATTTTGTTCCATTTCTCACTCGTGGTTGAACATAAAACTTGTAGACAGGAATCATTGAGTGAGATCTATTTCGAAGGATCACTGCAGTAGAAACAGTAAATATTGTACAATCTGCAGGTTAAATCAATTTGTTTTCAGATTCTCAATCGTGAATAAAACCTGCAAGATAAGTTATCAAATGTTTTCATGGCTTCACTTGACATCATATTAATTTGTGGTGAATCAAAAAGAGACCTTTTTAACTGATCATCTAACAAGGAATACTTGTGTGTTATCAACGACTATTCTAAAAGTACATTTTAAAAGATATTGTATAACATTTCAACAGTTTGTTCCCATGCATCAAATAAATATGAGAGAATCCAATAAGGATAACATTTCCCGTCAGACAGATCCACTTTCATCATACCTGGTGATTTGAAAACAAACAAAAAAATAAATTAAAAAATATAAAAGTGGAAATTATTCTGCAACTTTTGTGAGATTTAGTTTCCTGTATTCCCGTATCATCAACTTATCAACCCTAAAAATCCTTTAAACGTACCAAACACTGTGTCACTTATGCTGGGTAATTAAAAATCTGAATTTGTTTTAATTGTATTTCTTGCCTTTACTGAGTCACAGCCATTGCAATAAATAAAGAAATACCATCACACTTTCTCATAAACGACACAAAGTAGAACTAGGATTGAACATGGGTTCAGAAAAGGACAAGTGTATTTATTCTGTTCATTTTTAAAGTTGTCTGTCTGGTTTGTGTTTTGAGATTACCACAAACTGCTTTTAACATCTTTGTCACACTGCAGGTTCTACAACTAGTTTGATTCTGATAAACAAAAATGCTTTAAAAAAGGTTGAGACTCAAGTCTCTTCTGCAGAGTGGATGTACCTGACTCCATGGCAGGGGAGGTTGAGGGGGGAGTCATGCACAGGTTGCAGAAAAGGAGAAGAAGGGGAGGAGACGGTGTAGACGAAGAAGAGGAGAATTCATCAGCTGGGTTTCAGTCAGTCAGTCAGGACTTCCCTGACGTCAGTCCTCACCTCTGAGAGGGAAAGAGAGAGGAGGATGAAGACAGAGTGAGAGGGGGGGAGACATGTGAGAGTGGAGAAGAGACAACATCACAAGAGAGACGGAAACTTAGAGACAGGAGATGAGGCAAGCGACAAAGTCAAAGTATTGTGATGATATGTATGACGGACACCCGACTTGTAGGATAGTTTGGTCATTTTAAGGCTTTTTGATTACATTTCTAGTGAGAAGTGTGTATTCTACTTTCAGAATCTACGTCCAGTGGAAGTGTAGGATCTATAGTTTGATTCATCAGTAAAACGTGGTTTATATCCTCCTGGGAACCGAGGACAAAAAGTGTTTTCCAATCTACTTTACTTTTTATTTCCCACCTCTTTAGGGTTAAAAGAACATCTTACAATTTAGACTATTTTTATTATGTCCACTGTAGATTTGAGTTTGAAAAGACAGCCAAAATGAACAGATATGTAACGTACTATGGTTATAGAGTGATATTAATACAATAATACATTCACCTTTATTTAAAACATAAATAAGTAATTGATCTGAATATTGCTGTTTATTTGGTCACTAAAAAACTAGTTTGGTTTTTGGTGAATCTTTCCAGATCTTCAAAGACCTGTAGTCAATGTAGTGGGGAAGTACCTCATTGACTCCAGTCGGCACGGGCTGTGAGGGTCATCTTGACTAGATTTATGGATGTGTCTCCAGTTGACCATGCTCATAGAAACAAACTTGGCAGTCCCGAGGCAATTCTCATTTTTCACGGCTCCACTTAAAATAAAAACAACAATAACACAAACATGCTACTCTTGGCCCACCACATATTTTAACTATCACTATTGTATCGATATTTTCTTACACACCAATGTGACAGAAGTGAAAAGCTAACATTAGGCTATACACAAACTACTTCACGGTCACATGACTTCACGTCACCACCGCTAAGCTAAATGTTGCTAATTTTCAGCATGATGTCCTTTAGTAGTCTGATCAGCCACTTTTAAAGACTTACACTGACATTTGATCTCTTTTAACAAGAAGATAGTCTTTTTATATTAGCCACAGACCTTATTTCTTGCATCGAACCAACAAAGCATTTAAAAAAACCATCGACTTTCAAGACGAGGGAACCACAAAGTGTTAAATGCTATCTCACTTCTGGTTTAGGACTCATTCCAGCACCACTGTTAAAACTATATTGGTATACAATAATCATTTGGCTTCCCCCCTTACACTTACTCGAGGATCCCCTAGGGGCCACGGACCCCCTGTTGAAGATTATTAGGCTCAGTCAAAGTCAAAGACAATGCAAAGAATGGAATGGACTGCAATGGAGCGCAGATACACAAACAAACACACACTTCCACGTCTTAGAAACAATGTAAAAGAAAGTGTGTGGATAAGCGGCAGTATGTTTTGCATCGTGTGTGTGTGTGTGTGTGTGTGTGTGTGTGTGTGTGTGTGTGTGTGTGTGTGTGTGTGTGTCATCTTGTGTGCAGGCCTACAGTTCGGTCGTATAAAACGTTGCTCAGCTAAAAATAAATTAAGGCCGAGAGAGAGAGAGAGAGGAGCGAAAAGCATTGTGCGCTGTGAGTCACGACCAGGAGTGGTAGTGACGATACAAACACACACACACACACACACACACACACACACACACACACACACACACACACACACACACACACACACACACACCAAAAAGCCAAAAAGGAGATAGACTTTAATATCCAGTCAAAAGTCTACAGAATCTTAAAATTTGAATTCTTTACAGAAAATAAGTCCTTTCTATGTTTCCCCACAACATACTCTATACATCTTAACATGATTTATGACGTATTATTTCCCAACATACAGAGGTAACCCAGTCAAAAGTAATACATAAACTATATTTTTAATCTCCAGAACATCGCCTTAGTCTTCCTGAATATACTTCCAAAATTAATAGAAAATACGAATGATATGACTCACACAAAAGGATGAGTCATATTTATTGCATCTGTTAATACCACAAGACGGTACACACGTTCAAACTATATTATTAAATGATTATATTAATATTACGTATTTAAACATTACATGAAACGGAAAAAAAAGGGCTAAAACACAGACTCTGTTTAGTCAAGAAAAAGGGAGAGAAGTTTAATTTAACAAATCACGTCTTGAGTGACAATTTGAGCTGTTAATGGTTTAGTAACTTAAACAGTTTGTGGGTCAATGCTAGGTGATGTTGTTTTCCTCTCTGACTAAAATCTCCACTCGNGTAAAACGAGAAAAAGGTCGGGAAAAACGTTCCCCGAACTAAGACCGAAACACACGCGTCCTCGATGTCGCGGTCGAATGTCCGGACCGTATACTGATGTCACACAGAGGTCGCGAAAGCACGCCAGAGACTATCCACCTCTCAACGGGTATAACCGCCCTCGTGAGGGAAAGACTGCCAGTATGTAAGTACATATTTTCTGCATGTTTCACGTAAACGCTACTAATCCAGGGGGAAATTATGAAGTTTTAACTTGACGTTTTTCTCGTTTGGTATTTTGAAAAAAAAAATTCACAGACATGTTTTATATAGGTATGGCCCTACAATATATGTTTAAAATATAGCATGATAGGTCCACTTTAAATGAATAGCATTTGCGATTAGTATTAGTCCTCTTGGACTTTGGCTACAGCTTCAAGTGTTAAGAGTCCTTACACGATATCAGTTCCACTAATAGTTTCTTCATAAACGAACAGTACTCAAGTTTTTAAGTCACTTTCCCAAAATTAAGGGCGGAATACTGCAGCAACAATTTCCGAGTACAGAGTAGCCCTGTGACACTCTGCCTGGAATACACAGAGACACTCAAGAGTTTGATTCAGCCTCATTTTATCTAGGGTTGATCCTAACTTCTGTACAGAACACAGATGTTTGTGCAACAACATGCCCCTCTCGTTCTCCTGTCAAGTAACTGGCCTTCAAAATATATCATGACATATGGGGAGAAGAAAGAAAAAGAAAAGACAGAAACTTCTCCAATAATTAATAATAACAAAGAGATGCTAGATCAGGAGAACATTGTTGTGATGTACGGTATGCGTTTACACCACAGGGGCCTGGCAGGGCTTAGTGGGCATCTCCAAGCTGCTCTCTCGTCCACAGCAAGCCGGCACCTCCAACAGGGAGGACTCCTCCGCAGGAGCTGGCATGCCCTGGGAACAGATCTGCTGCACGTGTTGCCTGTAGGAGATAAAACAGAGAACAGTTATATTGCCTTTTTCCTCAAAATGAGACAAGTATTCCATCAGGAGCTTTCGGGACTACTCACCAGGCAGTGCGAGACATGACGTAATAAATGTCGGGTCGTTGGAAGCCATTGAAGGTGGAGGCAGCAGCCACGGTGTAGGCCCCCATGTTATCAAAGATCAGCCAGTCGCCTACCTGCAGGTCAGGCAGGTAGCACTGCTCGACGATGCGATCGAGTCCATCACATGTCGGGCCCCAGATACTGCAGGGGTATCTGACCTGATCTGGCTTTGGCTTCTATTGAGAAGGGGGTGGACACAAATCATTAGTATCCACTTTTCAATTACTCAGTTATGCTGATAATTTGCCACATTTTCAAATCTTGAGTCACTTACCTTATGTAGTGTTGGCAAACAGTGAGCATGGTCATAGAGTATACAATTGAAGGATCCATAAACGCCATCGTTTACATAGTACATCAGGGTCCTATCTGTGGTCCCCTCGTCTTCCTCTGTAGAAAAGTAGAAATAATTTAAGTACTGAGAAATGTTACCAATCTGCCGTAACAATATTTGTGCAGTTGAGCATTATTATCGTTATTAATCCTTCTATTAATTGTTTTGATTTAAATGCTTTGTCTATAAAATTTCGGGAAAAATGTCCATCCTTTATTTATCAAAATAGGTTTGCAGCTCTATAACAGAATAAACGAGTACACTAAATGAAGGCTGTTACCGTCAGAGGCAGATTCCTCATCCATGATGACCTTCTTGGCGATGATGTTGACGACCAGTGTGTAAGCAGAAGCCACATAAAAGCGTCCTGGCTCAGAAATGATCTTAATGCCAGTGTCAGCGGGGAAATACTTATCCAGGGCTGGGGTGATGACTGCAGTGATCTAGCAAGGGGGGGGGGGGGGGGGGGAAGTGTCCATTGATTATTATAATGTAAAAAGATTATCTTGAGCCAGTTCTACTGATGTTGCAGCCTAATGTCCAAAGAGGACAAATACAATTCAAGATACCTCTTCGAATTTGAGTTCAGTATCATCTGAACCAGGAAATCCACCTCCGATGTCCAGCAGGTCCATGTTGAAGCCCACCTCAGCCTAGATAGTCACAAAATTCAGTTTAAGACAATTTTGATGGGTGAAAAATGTAATACTTTTTAATGCAGTTGTCACAACTCACCCCTATATCGAAGACATAACGGGCATCAGCGATCGCCTGAGAGTAGGTCTCGGGATCGGTGCAGCCACTGCCAACATGGAAGCTGACGCCAATCACATCCAGCCCCAGTTCCTTAGCTTTCTCCAGGAGACCTCGACACGCTTTGAGTGTCACACCAAACTTCACGCTCAGGCGACACACAGCCTTAGAGTCATCTGTGGCAATACGCAGCACCAGCCTGGGCACAAAAATAGAGTTAGAGGAATAAATATTGGATATAGAAAATCAAAATGCCTGTTCAGTCTTTATATTTAAAATGGAAATAAATCTCACTTGGCATTTTCATGACAGCGGGCCACTTTCATGAGTTCCACCTCGCTATCAAAGGTCATCATCCGGACGCCGTGGGCAGATGCGTACTTGATCTGGGAAACTTGCTTGCAGGGGTTGGCATAGATGATTCTGCTTGGATCCACCCCCAGAGACTGAACCATATGAATCTCCGTCTAGAGGGGGACAATGCCAACAGTCAGCAAAAAATAAGTGGCAATTTAAAAACTCAAGCTGCCAATGCTAGTTCAGCTTATCATCAAGAGAGCTTTGAATAGTAGAGAACATCTATGGAAGATTACAACCCATACCTTGCTTGCACAGTCGAAGCCAGCTCCCAGGGAGGCCAGTACCATGACTACAGCCTGACTGTCGTTGCATTTGACGGCGTAGAAGGGAGTGACGCGTGGCAGGGCCCTCACCCAGCGCAAGTGCTTCTTGAAGACATCCCCCAAGTCGCAGACGTAGAAGGCATCCCTGTCATCCTGCGATGGAACAGATGAAAAAATGTGTTCAACAAAAACTACTTAAAAAAATAGAATATTACACAACACATGCTAAAATAAAATGTGATACACATTTTATTTTATGACAAGATAATCGCCACATGGCAATATCCTATTGTCCCATGCCTATTAACACCCCTGTGTTCTTTAGAATTGTGTAAAGGGAATACAATGTTGACATTCCAACACAAGTCACCTGAACAAGGGTGTTGCATCCTGTTCACATTCACCACTTCACAAATGAGGCCATCTGCATATCCCCCGAACAAGTCAACACAGGACACTCACCGTCATGGATGACTCATTGATCTTCTGCTCGACGATATCCCGTGCAGAGAAGCCCTCCTCAAGGAAAGAGAAGTCAAACTCGGTGGCAGTTTCCATGCTCACAATAAATCCTTTTGAGTAGTCACTAGGAAACTGAAAGAGGGAGCGGAGAACATATTGAGATTACACTCAGCTTTGAGGACAAAGTGTATTTTGTGTCCTTGATTTCAAAAGTCTATTTGTTCCTCACTCAGGACTCAAAAAAGTGAAAGTGTAAGTGATTCTCCAAGCATGGAATTTGACTGAAAGACACTTTTTTTACTGGATTAATCTATACAATGCAGTATTTTATAGAGTTCAAATAGTAGACAGTTAGATACTTACTTGGATATAAAAGAGATGAAATTTGATTGGTGCAATTATTCAGGTACAGAGCAGCCAAGGCGGTTCACCAGTGAAGTTAAATCCCTTCAAATAAGACTCAAGGCCAGGGCCTGCTGAGGAGCCAGTGTGTGTCTTACAAGACTGATTATTCTGTAACAAGAGCATTTGACAGGATTTTAACATACAAAACATTTTCTGATGGGAATACGCCTGGAAAGTAAAAACGTTGCTTTCTATGGACTCACATTTTGTTTGTTAAAGAGTCAAATAAACCTCACATTACAATATATATGTAATCTTATCCTTACTACTGCATTTTAATTATAGTTATGAATTAAAAACATCAAAGTTACGGATTATTCTATAAAACGAACCTAACTTATAGCCAAGACATACACTATTTTACGACTATGTCATGACTAACGGTACTACGACACCATCTGCACAGAAGTAATTGAAAGCACAAGTGTTTAAACCCCGCCCAGTTTCAGATGTAATCCTATCATAAAGAAGATCCGCCTTCAACGTAAAAGAATGGCACGAAAATTGACCAATCAGTGACTTACAACTGACGCTGACGTCGGCATGCCGGTTCCGTTTAGAGCTCTGCGTGCCATGAGGTAATTTAGCATGAAAGTTACTATTAAACGTGGTTTCGCAAAGTCAATGCAGCCAATGTTAAAACATATTTAGTGTATACTGAAGACACCGAAGCAGTAAAAGTCCGAAATAATAGACAAATGTCGAACCGGTTAGATAGCGAGATTAACACCAAAGTAGATAACTATTCCTAGATAACGTCCGCTAAAAGGCCGCCTGTCACACTGGCCACGTCGTAATGGGTAAGTAACATTTACAGCTAAACTCAGCAGCAATACAATTTGAATAAATTGTTACTTTGATAAACCAAAAATACCAACGCCGTTACGCCCAGGAAGACAATTTTTCATTGTCCTTGTTTAAGCCGCCATAACCTTAGCCTGCTAGTTAACGTGTGCTACCGTTAGTTAAAAAGCAAATGTGATAGCTCACATTTCACGTTGTTAAACATCGAAAATCCTTCACTTACCTTAAAAAGCATTTACAAAGAGTGTGTCCATTAGACCAGAATGCTGGGATAAAAAAATTAAGCCGTACTGAAGGTGCCGCCTCTGTCAGGACTGAAACTAGAGTGGAAGCTGGTAAAGGAGTCAGCCAGTATTTATAGAGAGCTGGTTACTACGACAACGCAGCCAGCTGAAACCGGCCCCCTATCCACGTATGAACCGGTTTAGGCTCGTCACCTCATCCACATGGTGGGGAAGAAAGGCTGCTATACAACTGCGTAGCCTACACGCGGAAGATAGCTTAAGGTAACACAGCCAGTTCAAACCGAACATGCATCTACGCAAATAAATAATACAAATAAAAGAACCTTCAGGGCTATTCATTGTATCGTGGTGAGACCAGATATACAGCCGCCTATCTCGTAACCTCTGTCTAGCCCCATCGTATCCTACTTCTCATATGAAAACTTGTGTCATCCTTTTGCCAGGTTATGGCTCTTGCCAGGCTGAGAGTATGTAGAGAAATATGTTCCAAATTTACATTAAAATACTTGAAACCGTTTAACTGATTATAGATTCCACATTTCATTCATTTTTAAAGCATACATTTTTAACATTCTCTGGTGCCACGTTCAATCAAATTAGTAGAAAAATCACTAGTCACCGCCTTAACAAGTATTTGTATGCTAAGAACATATGATGATGATGACCACCCGAAAGCGAGTGAGGTTCAGGATAGGTAAGGCTAATATATCACTAACTGGGTCATTCCAGAATTGGAGGACAATTTAGACACCAACATTTTTGAAAATAAACCTTTTATTTTTTATGTATTTAGGAAAAACAGATAATAAATCATCAAAAAAGGTGATTTGCCCAGCTAAGGCATCAAATGTATATTTTCCAATGAAGAATGACCCCTGTTACTCTAAGTATAGTAACAGGGTTGAAAGTAACAGGGTTGAAAATCAATGCTAATTTGAGCTTTAACCTCAGGAATTATTGCTAGATGTAGCATGTAATGCTACTTTCAATGCAAGGACAAACTTGGATATCTCATGCAAGAAAAATAACTTTGAAATTAATATGCTTTATTCTGATAATATCAGTAACAGGGTTGAGTGGGTCAGAGTGCCACACTCTTTTAAGACTGAAAAGATTGTAAAAATATGAAAAATAAAAGAGAGTACTTAGTTTTGGTCTACCCATGGCACTAGCACATGGCTTGCTGATGTCATCTGACTTACAGTTTTTTCACTTCTTCTGCCAATCTAAAAAGGTTTGGGTAACAGGGTTGAACGCATGTTGAGGGACACACCTTCTGTGCAAAATTACTGTTATTTAAAATATGTTTATGATTTAACATATTGATTTCCTGTCTGCGCATGTGCATGTAGCTAATTTATAGCCTAGGGTGTATTATATTATACTTAAACAGGTAGCTTAATAGCTAACAATAAAGCTATTGACTGTGTGTTTTGTGAGTCATTGGCCTAACACAAGTTAGTAATCATTGGCAATTAATTACCTTTTTTCATTTATTATTATTTTTAATTTCTGCTCATCTTTATTTTTATTGCAGGTTTTTTATCTGATGTTCGTGTGATGTGGAACAGAACCTTACTCTTTGGGGACCTCGTAATGTATTTGGTAAGTCATTTAACAAAACAAATTCCTTACTCTTCAACTTTTGAGGGCAACTATTTGGATTTTCGTTTAGTTTACTCTGGCTTAGAGATTCCTGATTATTTGTTAAATTAAACACAGTTGCTTTGAGTGCATGGCTTATGTAAGTCAAAGCTGATGCAGACTCAGCATGACCGCAGAGGTGAGCTGTAAAACACCATCAGGCTAATGTTTGATTCCCAGCCCTCCGCTTTTTTCTCTTTGTAGGTACCATTAACTCCTCAGGACGCTGTTTGAGTCAGCATGGCTTAAGTATGTCATGATTCCTATTTCGCTAAGATCTGCGCCGTTTCTCATTTCGAGTAAGCTGCTCAGAGCACTATTATCAGCATAACTAACTCATACGAGTGTCGCCGAAAGGGCTGTTTAAAATGCGCAGCATACATGTGTAGCCAAAGCAGTCTCCTCGACATTAGAGAACGCCACGTTTTCACTCGTCGGCACTATTGTGCTGTAATAAGCTCCACACTCTGGCGCTACGTCTTGTCTCTCAACTCTGTGTGGTCGTGTGTGTAATTACAGGAGTGGGGACAGATGGAAGCGACAGCGATAACACAATCCAATCAGCCTCTGGCTATAACGGCCGCACTATCCACACCAATCTGACACCACGAACACGTCCCGCACGGAAACAGTTGCGCAGAGAGAACTAGTTTCGTCTTTTTACGGGGAGAGGCAAGAGCTTTGGCCCTTGGTGTTCCACATTATGTTAGAGAGAAGAAGGTCACTTGAGAGAATAATTGGAGTTTACAAAATAGATGAACTTGCTTATCTGATAAGAAAACAACGAGTGACATAGAATTTTTATATACATAATGCACATACATTATACTCATGCATATATGCGCGACTATGCCTCCTTAGTATTAGGCTACCGTATATAAAATGGAAATACTTTACATTGAAATAATTAGTGTTTGGTATGTTTTCCGCATCTACTACTCGTACATTCACCATCCATATCAAGTCCTAAAAACAACCTATAATAGTAAAAATATATTCCGCATCGAGAGAAAGCAGCCTTCAAAACAACTACTACAAGTACCAACATCATAGAAGCGACAAAAAGATGTGTGTGGAGTGAGCTGTGTGTGTATGTGAGTAACACGAGAGTAATTAATCCACTACAGCTCACTCATATTCTGTTTCAGCAACATGACAAACAACACAACAAAAACAGACACTGTGTCGTGGCGAATACAGTCGCTCGCTCTATCCTGTCTACTAAAAAACTACAACGTTAGTCTCAACATCTCCATTAGACATAAAAGTTTTTTTTGCCCGACTTTTCACCTGCGATTAGAGGTAGAGGTCGGCAATGCGAAGGCAGACAGCACATAACTGCAGCCACTGAGAGGCTTTTAGCGCAACTTGCGAGATAAACACAGTGAGAGGGTGCCGAAGGCATGGTGGACGTAGACGAACAAAAAAATATTTATGGGGCCATTAGCGGCTAGACGCTGACGGGCCTATCCGGACGGCCATCAAGGCCGCCGTGACCATCCACCTGCAACGTAGAGTAGTATTGGANTTTCAGGAAGACTGGTATACATTCAGTCCGCAGCTGCTTATAATCAGCTCATCACGGGCGTTCTCTTTAACCTATTACATTCACCTCATTCTCCAGCACCCAATCACCGTGCTGCAGCCAAACTCTAAAATGGTTCTCCTCTCTCCTGCAGTCAGCTGTGATTTGAGGTGTTCATGCTGCCGCCCGCCTCCTCCCCATCCACCTCCTTTCATCACATCCGGAGCCAGGAGAGCTAATCCAAAGACCTCATCACACCTCCTCTTCATCCCATCTCCTCATCAAATCCAGATCTTCATCATCATCACCAGTGTCTAGACCCCGGGTGGTTCCCTATATGCTCACGGCTGCATTTCCCCCTTTAGATATACGATTTCAGGATCGGGGTCTAATCGCCAAAGACTTAACATTTATCACGTGACATGTGTCAATAAATGTTCTTGTACAAAATGAAGTCTCTCCTGACTGAAATATTTTTACCTAAATGTAATTTACTTGGAATACATTTTTACATATGTACTTTTATTTAATTGTTCAATCTGTAATTTCT